CGCATGGAAGAGTTACAAAAACACAAAGCGCAGAGAGCAATCAAGAAACATCATCAAATATGAATCAAAGAAACAAGAAATCAATCAAAGAAACAAAAGCAAACAAATACAAATCAAAAACAACTTACGAAACGAAAGATGATCGCGGTTCAATAATGATGACGAAATGAAAATTTTTTGAATCGAACTCTGTTGACGGATGACTGAACACTGCAATTGTATAAGCAAACAATAAACTGACAGAAACATTTTCATCATTTAAACATTTTCGTCATTTCGTCATTTTCGTCGTAGAAATACCATATCGTATACATTGGACAGTAAATAAATTTATCACATCAAGTCGTCAGTAAATTTTCAATCGCTTCAACCACGATGTATGGTTACACAATAAAATGTTACTTTGTTAAATACACTATGAAAATCGAAACAGATACAAACAAACTGTCTTAGTGCGAAGTAAGTAAATCTCTCGAATGATCCACTATAATCTCATTAAGAATGCACTATCCAGGCAATAAATTAACTGACTCTTGAGCAAATTCAAATACGCCTTATAGACGGGTCTTTCGACTCGTAATCTCTACGCTTTCCTCTGAAATATTTACACTTTCCCGCAGTGAATTTTAAAAAAGTGCATGATTGATACGATCTTAACGGACATTGAATCAACAGCAGTAATATGAGATATTGTTTGCATTCCGTAGTAAATGCTCCATTTAAAGTGCGACTAAATCATTACAAGCCATTAACGCAAATAGATATCCACTCGTAACAGATCAGAGTTCATTCAGATATCCTGTTACTCATAGAGATGATCTATTCTTAATGCAATCATCTTATCCAGTTATTACAAGATATAGCAAAAAGTAAACATTGAACAAACTCCAGACGGATTATCTGCATATGTCTAGTGATTATAATTACTGAACTGATGATTTCTCGTCAACCGTCTGAATGAAAGTTTACAGAACTAACAGAATTACTTTGGAACAGTCCAATCGTTCATTACAATTTAACTGTTTGAAATTTTCGTAAATAGAGTAATACTGTGGACATTGAACTGTTTTGTGATACATCTTTGTGTTGTTTGCTTGATACTTTAATGTAAATGACTGCAAAATGTGGACTTCAACCTCACAGGTAAATTATTGTTATGTAGTTGTTGAAGTATGAAAACAACAGCTAGTACGATGCTTTATTGTGCATCAATCATCTTCATAAAGGAATTCTTTTGAACAAATAATCATACTTATAGTTCCCATATAAAAGCATTCAAGATAATAATCACTTCATAAACTTCACTCATAACAAATGATTTGCTCTACTTAAAAAAAGACATTCTAAAGTTATTTTCTTGCGTAATAAGATAGCGACGAAATTTTTTTGTAGAGAAACACTCAAAAGTTAAAAATTCAAAAGATTTCTCCAAATATTTACAGTGAAATTTGATTTCCAAACATTTTTGACCCACAGTTGAGGGTCGCAATGAACGTTCGTTTCGTCTGAAAGCCTTTTTAAATTTAATTTCTCCCCAGTAAGCCGAAAACAACTTCTCAGAAACTGCAAAATAACGACTTTGAAGTGAAGTTATGAAGCGATTGATTCATTGTTATATTATATCAAATAAGAGCGAGACCCAAATTAGCGCGTATAATAACAATAATAATAGTGATAGTAATAATTACAATAATAATAATAGTAATGATAATAGCTTATCAGTAATGATAGCAATAAAAACAATGATAATGGTAATAATAATAATAATAATAATAATAATAATAATAATAATAACAATAATAATAAAATAATAATATTAATAACGTTGTTTCGAACAAAAAAATAAAAAAGAATCAATCGAGAGGGGAACATCTGTCGTCAAGAAACTTAAATAACAGAAATAAACACGTCAAGATTGATCAAAACGAAAGACTAGCCTTCATTTCACAATAGCCTCACATCAGGTATTCAGCTAAGCGAAAGGGTTCGGAATCGATGAGGAAAAAGAGGACGTAACAATACAAAGTGATTCAAAACGATACAATATCCAAATGAAATGATTCAGAAATGAACAAAACAAAACAAAAAACTGATTTAAATAAGTCAAATAAAGCTTTATAGACTGTGCAAACAAATAATACAAAATATTCTACATGATAAAATGATTTTCTTAGTTTTGTTAATAATAATTTGTTTGAACTTTTTTGAGTAATACGACGAAGTCGAACTCATAAAATGTGGCTCACAATAAGGTCAAGAAAGATTAAAATTTCAGAAGGGTGAAATTGAATCGATGTTATCAAATTTTGAAAATAAACGCTAAAATTGAACAGTGTTTTCAGCTTTTCAATACGGTTTTCAATTCATTTCAGAAGCCAAAAGCGCAGCAGTAAAGTTGTTTCCAACTAAATTCCACTAGATTTTGACCAAAAATGTACGACTTTACGATTAAACAGAGGTCTCGTACTCACTAATTTTCATAAGAGACATTGGCTTGAAGCTACTTCAGCCAGGGCTGATTCTTAAATTTAAGTTTTCGCCTCATTAACTGTTCCTTTCAACACTGATCTCTATGGTACACGTTCAGTTGCTGACGAAATTTCAGTATAATATCAAATAAACTGTAAGTCAAAACAAAAATTATAATAACTATAACAAGTATTGAGTGCTGCTGATTTAATGCAATACAGATTGCAGCATCACTTCTTTAGAAACACATACATCTATGTATAGTGATAATAGTACATGAAATATGATTTTGACAGAAGTGATCAACAAATATCAGTGAAATTAAGCGATCAGTGGAAATGACGCGACCAGCGTGATTGATGATGATNACATAAATGATCAGTCTCTAACGTACACCAGTACTACTTCTTCGAGTCGTTTTAGGACTACGAGGAATTTTGGACGGAGTGCTTCGGGTTGTTATCGATTGTGCAGATAGCGTTGATCTGGACTGATCCTTAAATATCATTGAAGTATTATCAGTGACCGATTATATCATTAGTAACTTCACTGGCACCGATTAAACTATACAAATAGATATAAATGACACCCGCTGAGTTCATGTGATGTGAATGATTACCATAGAAATGATCACTGGGTGAATGATCAACATAGAAAAGTAAGTTCATTGGTACTACAGGAAAGCAGATAGTGATACTGCGAAACTTTTAAAGCAAGATTCTGGATAATTCTGATGTTTAGGAACAACCCACGACTAGCACAAACTCAGCGCAGTGGATGTGAAATTTGTTATGAACTTGAGAGATCATAAAGAATCTTCTTTAGAAGATGGATATTTTTGAGTGCAATTGTCAACTTAAAATTAACCTTTCTCGTTGCATCTATATGCAATCGACGTTTTTGTTTTTCAATACCAAGCCCTTGCAGAGAAACATCATTCGATTGAAGGTTGATCGTTGATGGTATTCGAGATTTGTTGATACCACTGGATAACGACACTGCAGATGGCCGACTGGATGCCATTTTTGGAACGACTCGAGATGTTAAGCGAGATGCTATCGTTAGGTTGGATTGGGTGCGAGGTTGAATCTTGGTTTTTACCTGCAAATTGTGTGCTCTGGTTTGATTTGATCCACAATTCAGTAGTAATCATTAATTGAACAGTTCAACTGCTCCGACGGTTTCTTATCATTTTTGTGTTTCTTAAGACGTATCATTCATTCCTGGAGAGTCTGTGAAATAATTTTCGCAGAATCTCCCTCGAAACCATGGTTCTCTACTGCATGAAATCTGCACTGATTATGAATACTGACAAAAAACAAAAACATCCATATCCATGGAATTTCGAATTCTGTTTTCTATTTTTGGCACATTCAAAGAATCTGAAATCTTCGTAAGTTTCTAACAGTTGATAACCGAAGCGATGAATAATACAAGGAGAATGAGCACACAAAGCGAACTACCAACACATCACTAAGTGAATCAACGAAAACGAATGAATCATTCTGGGTGCAGTAAAAAGTTCGATGAATTGAGATGATTATGGCAAAGGAACTACAGGTTCATTAGTTAAGCTATTCTACCACTCAGTTATCGACATTATCAATAATTTTTTTTCGTGTTCTCAAAATCCTTTTTCTTGTTTTTGAGTTTATGAGATCACTATGATATCTTAACTAAATGTCTATTGATTGCTCTATTTCATCACTACAACTTAATCCATCCAAACGAGATATACATACAAATACAAAGGGACAATCAAAAGCTGGAATACATCAAAGCACAACGGAAGGGGAAAGGAAGATTCAGAGAAGCTGTTCAACTTCATAAAATAACTTGCTGCTCATGCCTTAGACATCACGCTTATGAGAATTCACGCATGACATTTATGATAATATTGATCGCTTGAGGAGTATTCCAACTGATAAGGATAATAGAAATTGTTTGATATATATGTACATTGCATTCAATACTTCGTTTTCTGAAACATTTACTCATTTCTGAAAGAAAAATTTTAATTTTATGCTATTTATATTGAATACCACTGAAATGAGTGGTACATATATCAGTTCTGATACCCTTGGAATTGAGGCGCGAATTATTTGAAGGCATATGACAAAGAATTCAGGTAAAAATCGTATTTTCACATGAAGGGGGTGACTACTGCCCAACTTTGAAGATCAATTTTTGATGACGGATTAAAATCCAGTTGAAAAACTCGTTAAAACGACTTCAGAACCGAACAGTTAGTATTAAACAAGTTCTAAGACTTCCATAGCAGTACGAAATACTGTACTAAAGTTACCACATAAATCAACTTTCAATCATCTAATCTTTTGAGAAGATGTGTATACTGAATGAAGGAAATACACCAAATATTTGCGAAATTGAACTGCAACAATACCGCAAACGACGTGTGGATCAAGCCAAAAGCATAACTACCTAATGACACCAGACTAAACTTCTAATGAGGCTCTGAACTTTTATTGAGAAGCAGGGGAGGCTCTTGACCATCACTAAATCACTAAATTTCAGAGGGCATCCTGAAATGACCTGCACTCACAGTGTGCAGTTGAAACGGTCCGATCGAGTCTAAAATGAAATGCTTGAGGGTGCCACAATATACCTGTGAGGTAGACGGCTGTGCTGAAGCAGAGGATAAAGAAGCTCTTGATGAGACTACGGTACTTGGCGATTGAGTCTCTTTCACCATTGGTTTCACAACCGATTTCGGTTTATCCGGTCCCTGAATCAGTTATTCTATTGACAAATTGTGTTAACAATTATGAGTTATAAATGTGTCATGCTCGCTTGATTACTAAAGGCGAAATTGCAATCAAAAGATTAAAAAAATTGAAATCAAAATGAAACGCAACCTTTTTAAGAGATTGTTCTTGAGTTTGTGCGGATGTGATATGCGGCAAATTAGCTCGGTTTGCAGACGAGGACATTAGTGTATGAGTATGTTGACGTTCGAGTCGTTGCTGAAAAAGGGATTGTTCAGTAGAGTCATGAAATTTACACTCTTCGCATCATATTAAATGATGGTAAGTAATACAAGTGAATTATGCTAGATAGTAGCCTCAAACGTCAGTGATCACCAAAAAATTATCAGAATAAGAATTTCATGAAGATGGAGGATTCCTTGCGCTTATAACATTAGCTGAGCGGTATAAAGGATATCGAGAAAGGGAGAATGTGGTACTGGTGATAATAGAAAGGCATAAATAGAAAGCATAACTACCTAATGACATCAAAATAAACTTCTAGTGAGGCTCTTAGGAAGCAGGGGAGGCTTTTAATGAGGCTCTTGACCATCATCGTACTTTCTCAATCACTAAATTTCAGAGGGCATCACTCAGTTGATAGAAAGGCATAAACTCGTAATGAGCTTTATTTGCTGATTAAGTAAATGCAGTGTTGGGCAATAGCGCGCTATTCCGCTAGTCCGCTAATAGCGAATAGCGGAATAGCGATATAGCGATATCAGAAGTTCGAGTGAATAGCGGAATAGCGATAGCGGGAACGGCGCTATCGCTGTTCGATAGCGGGCAACTT